TATGATAAAACACTTTTTTCAAATGCCACTGGGTCCAGGCAGGCATTTACTAGCTACAGGGGCAGCAATCAGTTTCTTCAAAATTTACTGTTCTAAGCCCATTAGAGTTCCAGCGCAGCAAGGCTCTGCGATGGAAATGGAAAGTGCCTGTGTTTGTGTGGGGAGGCTGCATGCAAATGTTCTGGGCTGAGCTCCTACCCTTTAGTGTTAGGATGCTTATCAACAGATTTACGTAAACGTGCTCGTAAAAAATACAGTTTGTTTTTAGTTGGTGAATGTGGATGAGAGAAAGAAGATCCCAGTCGTTTCCCTGCGTTTGGGCCCAGGTAGAAGCGAGGTGCAGTGGGCAGGGCATCCAAAAACATGTACTCATGGCCAAGGAGAGCCCATGGGGTGACTGACTGATGTGATGGCAAGGAGAAGGGTCCCCTTCTTGGGCCTGGCCCGAGCGTGTTGGCACAGCGGGCACATTTTAACCAAGTGTCGTAATGTGTGAAGGGGTTTTTGTGTGTGAGACGTTGGCAGTGGCAACCTGCCTGCTGATGTTCCAGCACAGAGCACTCACAGACCCCATCCTGTACAACAACATCGAGCTACGCCATTGTCCGCACTGCTGATTTACATGTGCTTTTCATTTAAAAAAAAAAAAAAAAAAAAAGGAAGATTTTTATACTTCTGCATTCCCCTTCACCTAACAAAAAATCACCTTCAGCTGAACTGTGAAAAATAACTCTGAGCTGTGCTGTTGGAGGAGAGGAGGTGCCGACCTCCCAGGCCCGGCCGTGGGTGGGCCCTGCCTGTGGGGAGACAGCTGAAATCCAGAGCGACGTTTCTGGGATCTGTGTTCTCGCTTTAAATCTGTGTTAAAATGCCTTTGCATGAGAACAGGCCCTCAACTGCAATCCCTGCCCCTTCTCCTCATTCTTCCCGAATCCGAGCCTGTCAAGGATTACAGTGTGCAACCTCTGCTGACAGCAGATAAATAACTGACAGTATTTTAGCAGAGTTGCTAGGTTCTCTGCAGAGTAATTTGTTTTCTCCTTTCTCACCAAGTCTTTAATGTTTTGTTATAAACATCTATAGCAAGGCAGTGTTAATAGAAATGACTTATAGCCAGAGGTCTGGATAAAAGGCTGCGATGGTTTCCGAGCGTCTCTCTGTGACAGCAGCTCTGCCAAAGAATTAGTTTTCCCTCCGTGTAAATGTGCTTTGGTGGAAACGGACAGCAAAATTGCAATGATCAATGGACAAAGTCCCCAGATTTGATCAGCACCGTCTACTATCCCACAGGTTCTCTTTCCAAGGTAATAATGTGCTCTCTCAGTGCATGTGAGGGTGATGGTGGTCACTGGTGTGGCACAATCCTTTCTCACCACAAAATTTGCACGCGAGCATTTATTGTGCTTACATTATTCCCTCTTGCTGCCCCCTAGGAAGGCCAGGGGCACCTGCCAAAGCTTTTGCTGTAGCTGAGGCTCTGCCAGCTTGTTCCTCCTCTCATATTGCGTTTGAGCGTGGCAGTGAATGTGCAAAGTTGCAAACCCACTGCACCCCAAACCATAGCCCACATCGTGCAGATGCCACATGCTGAATTTATTACTGTAAAATTCCGGGCTCTTTACTCCTTTCTTTCGTGGAGAAGACCCGCAGTGTTTCTTTTAATTCAAGGGCCTCGTGTTCTTTCTTTCTTCCCTGCCTGTGCTGTATCATCTCGATAACAGAAAGTTGTCAGAAATCAATTCTTCTTCCCCTAATTGCATGGGTGTGATAAAAGATCACACGTGGAATCGGCGAGAATTTACACACACACGCAAACAAATAGGCCTTATCAATTCTCGTGAAAAATCAGATAAACCCATTATCTCACGTTGTATGTAACTGTGTGTGACAAGAGCGTGGGGAAGGAGATACAGGAGCGTGAGGAACTGCAGTGGAAGTCACGATGAGGAAATGCAGAAGAGAAAAAAACCCAGATTGCAAAAATTTATCTGCAGATTTCTGGTCTAAGGGAAAATGGTGTGCACAGAGATAGCGCTGTGCCCCACTGCCTGGTTTGAATGTAGAGCATCACTGAAGTCAAAGAGCTTAAGAAAGGAGTCTGTGGAGAAAAGCTTGTTTTGTGTTCACCGTGTGCCCATCAATGCACTACCACATGGCTGTCCACCCCAAGGACCTTTGCTTAAAAATGTGTCTTTGATAGTACAGCCAGGTTACTTTCTTCTGGGAGGTGACAGAGATTAATCAGCAAGCTGAGCACAGGTCCTCTGCAAACTGCAAAGAAGAGAAGCCTACGAGGGCGTATTTTTAATTGTAGCACCTTGTGACTTTTCATCTCGGCAGTGCCATACAGAATTTGTGTAGTTCATGTGTTCAGCTTTAACAGGAATTCAGAATTCAGAAGTGTTTAATACAGAGACTCTTGAGAATGCAGTTTCTTCAGTACACAGTGAATCTATACCCAAGTCATATTTTGCTCACACTGCAGAATAAATTTATCCCA